CAGCCTGGGCAACATAGGGAGACCTCATCTCTACAAAAATAAAAATGTTAGTGGGGTGTGGTACATGCCTGCAGTTCCAGCTACTTGGGAGGCCGAGGTGGGAGGATTGCTTGGGCCTGGGAGGTCAAGGCCGCAATGAGCTGAGATTGCTCTACTGCACTCCAGCCTTGGTGACAGAGCGGGACTCTGTCTCAAAGAAAAAAAAAATGCTACTGGAGTTTGTTAGAATGCAAATTTGTAACCTACAGCATTGGATATTCTGACCCACTAAGTCAAGGTCAGAAGGGTGACCTTGTCTTAAATTGCATTAAGAGATTTAGACACAAAAACTAAGGCAACCAGTCCCCAAGAAAGAGCGTGGGGAAATTTAATTTAAACTCCCTAAAATTTGGCCTGGTGCAGTGGCTCACACCTGTAATCCCAGCACTTTGGGAGGCTGAGGTGGGGCCCATAAACTTGTATTTTTAGCAACAGCCCAGGTGATTCTGAGGCTGGATGATATCTGGAGAAATCCTGCTTTGAAACTTGCTCTGAGGAGGAAGAAACCATTACAGAACATGGTGGTTAAAGACTCCTACAGAGGGTGGCTCAAGCCTGTAATCCCAGCACTTTGGGAGGCCGAGACGGGCGGATCACGAGGTCAGGAGATCGAGACCATCCTGGCGAACACCGTGAAACCCCGTCTCTACTAAAAAATACAAAAAAATTGCCAGGCGAGGTGGCGGGCGCCTGTAGTCCCAGCTACTCGGGAGGCTGAGGCAGGAGAATGGCGTAAACCTGGGAGGCGGAGCTTGCAGCGAGCTGAGATCCGGCCACTGCACTCCAGCCCAGGCGACAGAGCGAGACTCCGTCTCAAAAAAAAAAAAAAAAAAAAGACTCCTACAGAGAAAGAGTCACTTGGGTCTATACTTAGCCTGCTCCTGAAATACTTGGAAGAAAAGCAGCTAGAATCAATGTGTAGTATATTCTTTCAGATCAGAATCCTGTTGAGTTAGTACTCTACAGGAGTGGATCTCAACTGGGAGTGATTTTGCCTGCCAAGGGGCCATTTGGCAATCTCTGGAGACATTGTTGGTTGTCAGAACTGGGGTGTGTGTGTGTGTGTGTGTGTGTGTGTCTGTGTGTTACTGGCACCTAGAGGCCAGGGATGCCAGTAAACATCCTAAAGTGCCCAGGACATCCCCCACAACAAATAATTCCCCAGCAAAAGTGCCCATAGTGGCAAGTTTGAGAAACTCTGCTCTGCAAAGTCAACAGGGATGCAGAGAAGTGTGGCTAGCACTGGGAAAGCCATCGAAGGGTAGAGTGGGGGAGCTGGATCTGACCTTTGAGCATGCTTGGTCCAATCCTTGCAGAATAGGAGCCCCAAACTGCTTGTTGAATTGTTCTGCTCTGTCAGTTTACAGAAACAGGTGGAAGAGTTGTTAAACCTGGAGGTACTTAGATCTTCTGTGAGCCCCTGGGTTTCTAAGCCCAGATGGTAATTAGATTTTGTGTCAGTCAGGGAAAATGAAATTCTGTGATCAAACCAGATGCCACAGTCCAAACCCAGACTTGATGCACTGTTAGATAAATTAGATGCTAACAAAATCATCTCAACTCTTGATTTAGGAGAGGGTTTTGGGCAAATAGGAGGAAGGCAAATTCACAACAGCATTTGTAGCACCAGATGGGCATAGGAACTTAATTCCCGACCCTCTGGTGTGGGAAACTCACCAGCCTTTTTCCAGAGATGGGTTAATGGCTTATTAAGTGAGCTGGACACGTGTTGGCAGCCCACGCTGATGGCATTACTATATTAAGCCAGAATGCATATGGGCATCTGGAGTCTCATATGGCTGCCAAATTGATCCATAAAGCTGGGCTTATGGGGAAAGTGAGCAAATGGCCATTTGGGTGTCTGGGCTCAAAGATTAGGGTACAAAGTGGGAAACAGGCACATGAACCCATTGGGGATAAAAGGAGCACCTCACAAAGGCGGTCAAGTTTCTGCCACTAGAGAGTCACACCACTTCTGACCAAGAGACATTTGGGAGCTATTTGCTTTCTAAGGTCCTGCTAGAATATCTGAGGACAAATACAGAAGATGAACAGCACAGAAGACAAACATATAAGGAACTCCTACTGCAAGTCACCTCATTAGAATTTTCATTCCATGAAGATAGAAAGAACTACCAAAAGGTAGTTTGTTTAGAAATAGATTTTAGGGAATTTTATTGATTGATTGAGACAGAATCTCACTTTGTCCCCCAGGCTGGAGTGCAGTAGCATGATCTCAGCTCACTGCAACCTCTGCCTCTCGGGTTTAAGTGATTCTTCTGCCTCAGCCTCCTGAGTAGCTGGTATTACAGGCATGCACCACCATGCCCAGCCAATTTTTGTATTTTTAGTAGAGACAGCTTTTCGCCTTTTTGGCCAGACTGGTCTCGAACTCCTGGCCTCAAGTGATCCACCTGCCTCGCCTCCCAAAATGCTGGGATTACAGGTGTGAGCCACTGCACCAGGCCAAATTTTAGGGAGTTTAAAATAAATTTCCCCACACTCTTTCTTGGGGACTGGTTGCCTTAGTTTTTGTCTCTAAAACAACTCAGTGAATCCAGTCTTTTCTCCTTGAGCTGATAAAGTAAGTACCATTCACAATTAGGTTAAAGGCCAGGACGTTGCAGTGGGTTTGGGTGTGAGTCATTTACCAACCAAAATTATAGTCTAACAACAAGCAGCCATACTTCAATAGTCTACTAGGAGCAGAAATAAAAAGTTTCTTGATGAAGCCGAGGATCCAGAGGACCCTGGGAAGAGCTTGGTGGAGGGACTGGGGAAGGGACCCTTGCTGAAATATGAGTCCCCCTGTCATTCACAGGATGGACATAGCCAAGGCCTGCCAGATTTGGAAATGGGATTTGAGTATCTACTTTCTAGGCATTTTGTTAAACTTAAACATAGGTTAAAAGTGAATACAAACTAGAAACAAAAACAAGCAGGCAGCCGCATCCTCCGGGGGGTTAGCAAGCACTGTGAAGGTGTTAGTCCTCCATTGTGAGGCTTTTACGGTCCATTTTCTGACTTGTTTCAAAGAAGTAAAGCTGAGAATGTTGTCTAGACCCCAGATATTTAAGATGCTATGGAGAGATGCAGACATGCTCCAAATTTTTGACTCTCTGAAAGATGCAAACGTAAAACCTTTACAGAGACTGCAGCAGATGTGCCTATTAGAAGACTAATGGTCTTAGAATCTTCCAGTTTCCGTGGGATGGGATGTGTTTATTGAGCTATGCTCTGTGCCACACACTGTGCTGCATGCTGGGATACCCAGCTCCGTCAGTAAAGAAAGCTCACTCCATATGGGGAGAGAGAGTCCTGCAGATACAACTAACAATCAGAACACGAGGAAGGAGGGCCCACTCCACTGGGGTGGGCGGAGAATCAGTGCAGTGTTCTCTTACCAGGGGACGCTTAATAGGGATTTGAAGTGCAAGTGGGATTTATGGATGGGGGAGGAGGCCGAGGCAGGCACGATGGCAGGGCAGGAAGAGAAGGCAGGATTTCTGGGAACTATGGAAAGTGATCGGGTCTGGAGCCCAGGAGAGAGGAGGTCAGGAGGGTGCCTCTAGGAGTTTTCTGCAGCCTAGGAGGAGCAGAAGGCCTGGGAGGTATGGGTGGGTTCTCAGAGGGAGGTGAAAAGCAGAGAATCTTGGTGATCCTTTATGTGTAGGGGGTGGGGAGAGGACAAGGAACCAACACAGTAGCCAGAGTGGGGAAGAGAATGAGGCACATGGACGGAGAGAGGGCTGGGGTTCCTGAAAGAGGGAATCGTCAGCAGGATAGGAGCTCAGAGAGAAACATGGTGGATGAATAAGAGGAGACATTTACTGTAACCACGTAACTGAGGGCCAACTGTAGACTATATTTATGGAAAGTAATAATATTAATAGCATGGGAAATTGATCCTGGTATAATATAGTAAGTGAATTGGTTAACTGGAGATGCCCTGGGTAGTTATGACTGGTTGGAAAATGGGCTTGAAAACCACTGAGCCCAAGAGCTTGGTGCTTTGGGTCTGCTGGATTTTTATCTCCTCCTCTGTTATCTGGAGGTGGGAGACACCAGGGTGTGTTAGCCCCCCTGCAAATACTCGGTTCTACATTTGTACGTTTGCCTTAAGGAACTGTGGTGCTTCCGGTTGTTTTGAAAGGTTAAGGGGTTTAAAAGATGGCATCTTTTGAAGGAAGTTATTTGACTATAAAGTAAAAAACAATTGAGCTATGCTGGATTTAATAGGAGAGGAGTAACTATGTGGACTGAAATGTAGATAGCTGACAAAGCAGTTTATTTAATGAAGAAAAATTTAATACTGGATTTGCACCTGAAGTTGGAAATTTAAAATATAAGACAGCATTTTGGTACTAAGGGGTTCACTGTTGAATTATCTGCAATATCTAAAATAAAAGGCACATACATGTTCAATCGTTAGACAAATTACACGGTCCTTCTGTATCCACAGGGGATTGGTTTCAGGATACTAAATCTACAGATGCTCAAGTCCCTTATATAAAATGACTATGCGGCCGGGCACGGTGGCTCATGCCTGTAATCCCAGCACTTTGGGAGGACGAGGTAGGTGGATCACTTGAGGTCAGGAGTTCAAGACCAGCCTGGCCAACATGGTGAAACTCATCTCTACTTAAAATACAAAAAATAGTGGGGCGTGGTGGTGGGTGCCTATAATCCCAGCTACTTGGGAGGCTGAGGCAGAAGAATTGCTTGAACCTGGGAGGTGGAGCTTGCAGTGAGCTGAGATCGTGCCACTGCACTCCAGCCTGGGTGACAGAGTGAGACTCTGTCTCAAAAAACCAAAATAAAAATAAAAAATAAATAAAATGGCTATGCACATCCTCCTGTATACTTTAAATCATCTCTGGATTACTTATATTACTTAATATAATGTAAATGCTGTGTAAATAGTTGTTATGCTATATTACTTTATTTGTATTATTTTTATTGATATATTATTATTATTTTTTCTGAATATTTTCTATCCATGGTTAGTTGAATCCTTGAATGTGAAACCTGTAGATACCGAGGGCCAACTGTAGACTATATTCATGGAAAGAAATAATAACATGGGAAATTTATTCTGGTATAATATAATAAGTGGAAAAAAGTAAAGACAGGTGTAATTTCTCTTTCTCTGACTTTCTCTGACTGGTGTAATTAAGGGTGATTTAAATTTCTCTTTTTTTATACTTTTCTGAATTTGCCACACTCTCTGAAATAAGTAACGTTATTTTAATCCTGGGAACGACCTGGCATCACAGGCAGGGCTCTTCCTGCAGCTGGTATGGTGGAAAGATCGCAAGGTTCTGGGTTGGAAGAGCAGCTCCTGTCTGCATCTGTTTCCTATGGGCCATGTGATGCTGGGCAAGTGCTGTGAGCTGTGGGAGAGGCCTTGGCTTCTCACTCAGAGTCTGCTCCGGAGTAGGGAGGGAGGAGGTAGTCAGGGAGGAGGACAGCCTCTCTGCCTTGCCTTGGGGACCTACCTCCAGGTTGAAGCTGTCCAGGGCTGGGCGGAGCTTCTCCTGGCATGTGAGACAGTCCCTCTGACAACTGCTGAACACACTGGAGAAGAGGCTGAGCAGCAGCAGGTCACAAACCAGGACTTTCATGGTGCAGGAGCAGGAAGCAGGTGCTGGAACATACAGGAAGCATGGCAGTGAGTACAGCCATTCTCGGGGGGCTGCTTAGGGCCGGAGACCCTAACCCAGAGGATGCAGGAAAGACACTCCTCTGCTGTCTGTGGCAGGACAGCACTAGGGGCCTGAGATTCACTTTCCAGGGGTGTAAATTGTCAAGGTCATAGGCAACCCGGCCCGATCCCCTAGACTCAGTGTTCACGCACAGGCTTGCTAGTGTCTGGGTTCTTGGGTTGGTCCTGGGTGTCAGGACACCCCTGTGATTCCTGCCACCTGCCTGGCCTTGACACCACACAGGCACTTTTGGGAGCAGCTATGTGGTGGCAGAGAGAGCTTTCTTGGAAGCTGAAGGCATCGCTTTGCAGCTTACCAGCATGTGACATTAAATCAACCTCTTCGAGCCTCAGTTTTCATAGCCCATAAAAGGGGCACAGTGGCACCTGCCTTATCACAGGCCTATTGTGAAGATGAAGTGAGATCTGTAAGGGGAGTTTTGCAAAGTGCTGTGCAAAAGTAAGATGAGTAAAATACGAGATTTATTAATGACTCAAGTGCTTCCTTTCATCCTCCTGACCTTCCCTGCTGCAGCCAGGAATGCCCCCAACCCCCATACCCTGAAATCTCTCTTCCAGGTACTTGCCTCTTATCCCTGCTAGATGTGAGCTAGTGCTATGGTCTATCTCTGTCTCCCTAAAATTCCTATGTTGAAATCCTAACCTCCAAGGTGATAGTATTAAGAGATGGGATCTTTGGGCCAGCCACAGTGGCTCACGCTTGTAATCCCAGAACTTTGGGAGGCCAGGGCAGGTGGATCACTAGAGGTCAGAAGTTCAAGGCCAGCCTGGCCAACATCATGGCAAAACCCTGTCTTTACTAAAAATACAAACATATATACATATATATCCAGGTGTGGTGGTACACACCTGTAATCCTAGCTACTTGGGAGGCTGAGGTGAGAGGATTGCTTGAACCCGGGAGGTGGAGGTTGCAGTGAGCCGAGATCGTGCCATTGCATGCCCACCTGGTTGACAGAGTGAGACTCTGTCTCAAAAAAAAAAAAAAAAAAAAAAAGAGAGAGAGAGAGATGGAACTTTTGGGAGGTGATGAGACCATAAGACTAGAGCCCATATGAATGGGATTAGTGCCCTTGTAAAAGAGGCCCCAGCGAGCTAGCTAGTCCCATCCACCACTTGAGGACACAGCAAGAAGGCAACAACTAAGAACCAGGAAATAGACCCTCACCAGACAGTGAATCTGCAGACATCTTGATCTCAAACTTCCCAGCCTCCAGTACTGTGAAAAAGAAGTTTCTGTTATTGGCAGGGCACAGTGGCTCATGCCTGTAATCCCAGCACTCTGGGAGGCCGAGGCAGGTGGATCACTAGAGGTCAGGAGTTCGATACCAGCCTGGCCAACATGGAGAAACCCCATCTCTACTAAAAATACAAAAATTAGCCAGAAATTGCTTGAACCCAGGAGGCGGAGGTTGCAGTGGGCCAAGATCACGCCACTGCACTCCAGCCTGGGTGACAGAGCAAGACTCCATCTCAAAAAAAAAAAAAAAAAAAAAAAAAAAAAAAACCCAGTAATTTCTGTTGTTTATAAGCCACCCAATCTATGCTCTTTTGTTACAGTCACCTGGACAGACTAAGACAGTTGGCTTTCTGAGCACAGGGCCATGTTATTCACCTTGGCATTCCAGGCCAAGCACAGGTCCTGGCATGTGGAACTTGCTATTTAAAATTGAACAAAGAAACTATTCTAAGATAGTAGCTCCAAGGATTGGTCGATTGGATCAGTGGTTTGCAATCTTATGTAGGATTGCCTGAAAGGTGTGCAGTTTTCACTGTTTCTCCTTGAAACTTATCTTTTGATCAAGCCTTCTGAATCTGAAAGATGCTTTCCTGGACTGTATCATTTTGGGTCCCTGTAGAACCATCTTTAGGTGTAGGATTAAATGGAAAGGGAACAAAGAACTTTCTAGAAATGTAAATGTTCTTGATTGAAGTCGCAGGAGTGTATCCATTTGCCAAAACCCATTGAGTTGCAGATTTATATTCTGTGCATTTCACTGTATGCAGTTCCCTTAATGAAGAGTTCAGTGCAGAAAGCCAAAAATGACTGCCTTTATTGCTCTTTCTTCAGTTGATATTGAGGAACTGTAGAAGGTCTTGCTACTCCAATGCACCCTGCAGACCAGCTGGAATCTTGTTAGAAATGCAGATTCTTGGGCCTCACCCCAGAACCACTGAATCAGGATCTGCGTGTCTTTTTGTTTTTGTTTTGAGACAGTCTTGCTCTGTCACCCAGGCTACACAATCTCAGCTCACTGCAACCACCACCTCCCCAGTTCAAGAGGTTCTCGTGCCACAGCCTCCTGAGTAGCTGGGATTACAGGCACATGCCACAATGCCTGACTAATTTTTGTATTTTTAGTAGAGATGGGGTTTCACCATGTTGGCCAGGCTGGTCTCGAATTCCTGACCTCGTGATCTGCCTGCCTCGGCCTCCCAAAGTGCTAGGATTACAGGCACGCACTACCAGGTCCCACTAATTTTTTGGAAGGATCCGCATTTTTAGCAAGATTCCCAGGTGACTTATATCCGTGTCAAAGTTTGGGAAGTGCTGGTATGAAAAGGATGTGAACAAAGGAGGGACCTGCAACTGAGCCCACCCCAGTTCTTCTTCTTGTGCATCATCAAAGCATTTCATACCCAGAGGATGACGGTAAGTATGGGATGCTCAATAAGTGTTTGTTAAATCAATGAGTTGAATTTTTGTTTGTTTGAGATGGTCTCGCTCTGTTGTCCAGGCTGGTATGCAGTGGTGCAATCACGGCTTACTGCAGCCTTGAACTCCTGGACTCAAGTGATCCTCCCACCTCAGCCTCCCAAGTAGCTGGGAGGATTGTTTGAGCCCAGGATGCCTGGTTAGTTTTTAAATTTTTAGCAGAAATGAGGTCTCGCCATGTTGTCCAGGCTAGTCTTGAACTCCTGACCTCAAGTGTTCCTCCCACCTTAGCCTCCCAAAGTGTTGGGATTACAGGCATAAGTCACTGCACCTGACCAATTAATTCACATTTGAGATGGGTTTTGAAACAAATAATGAACACAGTGCCTATATAAATGACTGTATCGCAAATGCATTTGAGATTAATTTTTCTTCTTTATCCCAAGGACCAGGGCTTTAGTTGAGATTTATTGCCTGGGTTATTGTAATAGCCTCCTAATTAGTCCACCTAATGTTCTGGCTTCCCCCCAAGCCATCTTCAATCTGATGATGTCACCATTTATTTAAACTAATTTTATAACCTCATTGCTGTCAGGAGGAGCTCCAAGGACTTAGCACCGACCGATTCTTGCCTCATCTCCTAGCACCTAACCTCGCATAGCCTCTAGTCTCCGCCAATCATGTATAGCTCCGAACTGTATCAGGCTCTTCATGTTTTTTTTTTGAGACAGAGTCTTACTCTGTCACCCAGGCTGGAGTGCACTGGTGCTATCTCGGCTAACTGCAACCTCTGCCTCCTAAGTTCAAGTGATTCTTGTGCCTCAGCCTCCTGAGTAGCAGGATTACAGGTGCCCACCACCACATCCGGCTAATTTTTGTGTTTTTAGTAGAGACGGGGCTTCACCATGTTGGCCAGTCTGGTCTTGAACTCCTCACCTCAAGTGATGTGCCTGCCTTGGCCTCCCAAAGTGCTGGGGTTGCAGACATGAGCCACCATGCCTGGCTTCTTAATGTCTTTTTATCTTGGCACTTGCTCTTCCCTCTGCCCGGAATATCCTTCTCCAACTCATCCTTCACACACACTTCTAGCATCATCCCTTCTGGGAAGCCATGTCCACCCCATGGTCTGAGTTAGATCAGTCTCCTCTGCTGCCCTGGCATCTGGAAGAGCACATCATAGTGGGAGGTCAGCGAGCCTCAGGGGCTCCATCCATCAACACCGGCGCAACAGACGCACGCTGCAGAGTGGCGGTGATGTGTGCTTTCTCATCTGCTAATGACTACAGACTGCCTGCTTCCCACCGCAGCTCTGCGGCTTGCTAGCTGTATTTGACCTCTCATTTCCTCATCTGCACAAATGGGATGAAATTAGTACCTGTCTCAGAGGATGATTAGTGGGTTAATGTTTGTAAGCAATTAAAATAGCACTGACAGGCAATAAGCATATATATGAGAAGGAAAGAACCCGGCATGCAGCATTCACTCTAACACTGTTTTTTTGGTTTTTTTTGAGATGGTGTTTCACTCAGTTGCCCAGGCTGGAGTGCAGTGGCACAACCTTGGCTCACCGCAACCTCCACCTCCCAGGTTCAAGCAATTGTCTTGCCTCAGCCTCCTGAGTAGCTGGGACTACAGGAGTTCACCACCACGCCCAGTTAATTTGTGTAACATTAGTAGGGGTGGGGTTCACCATGTTGGCCAAGCTGGTCTCGAACTCCTGACCTCAGGTGATCCACCCACTTCGGCCTCCCAAAGTGCTGGGATTACAGAAATGTGCCACCGTGTCTAGCCTTACGTTTCTCATTCTACGAAATTTCTGTCTTTCTAGATATTTTTGTAGTGTTCCAAACAGCGTGGTTGTGCCCTCTGCAACCACATGGTGGCAGTGGCTATACGTCGCAGAAGAAATGGAAGGGAGGAGAAAAGGAGCTGTTTCCTTTCCTTCCTAATATGAGGTTGTAATACAGAATGTGTGCATCAGCTGAGCTGACAAGCTGTGACAGATGTTAGCGAAATGCTCTCTGGCTGAGGTTTTTTGTGAACTTCATTAACCGGGGCAATTTGCACATTCAGGAAATGTTGGCTGGTTTGACTGATGTTTGCCATCTCAAATTCTGGGTAAATGGGATTTAGAGGAGAGGTGTAAAAGGTAGATGAGCTTCTGGGACACATAGTGCATGCTCCATTTGCAGGTGAAATGTGGGGCCCTACACCTTGGCATTTGGGGAGACGTTGTTGAGTGTCCTTGGCTCTAGCCAAACCCTCCCTGTGGGTCAGAGGCACATGTACC